CTCTCTCTATCACCCTTTCTATCAGTCTATCTGTGTATCTATCAGCCTATCTCTCTCTCTCTCTCTATTTATCTCACACTCTCCTCTCTTCTCCTCTCTCTCTCCCTATTTCTCTTTCTCTTTTTGATAGTTTTGGTTTTGATATAGATTACCAACAAAAAATAAATCAATTGTAAGCAGAAACAATTAGCTTAACTTTAACTATCTTTAACTAACACTTTGAAATATTATAATGCATATATATAATATAAGTTCGTTTTGCCTAATGTACTGGACTTTAGAAAACAACTGAAATGTACTAATAGATGCGACACATGAATACTTCGGACCTTCTAATAATAATAAGTAATAAAATCGGCAGACGGTTTTTATCCATGCCGTTATTTTATGTTAAGACATATGTTTTGTTTTGTAAACATTTTTTGTACTAATAAAGCATTATTATTATTATAATAAATACATATAATAAACGAGTAGCAATTTTAATTTATAATTTGACATGATTTGATGAACCGCAACGGGGACATTGCCAGTTATCCTAAGCGCTCCTTAACAGAAGACGGTATGTGGCTTAATAATGCAAGAAGAAGAGGTTTTTACCTTGGCTCTTCTTCTTATAAAAGCGGGTTTTGTTAAGCTAATAGGAGAAGAAGCCGGGTGCCTAACATTTTATCACCCCCCGCACCATTCTTCCCAACGTTGGAATTCTCCTCGATTCAACCGGGGGAGGGGGGTTGTTTTAAAGATTTTTTCCTCATTCTGGCGTCTTTTTAATCACAATTTCTTGTTTTTTGCTCGTTCTAATTACATTTATGTGGTACATTTAAAAAATTTGTATAACATTGTTTTTTTTCTGAATACATTTATCCTTATAACTCTCTTACTTCTCTCTCCCTCTCTCTCCCTCTCTCTCTCTCTTTAGCTCTCTTTAGCTCTCTTTCCTCTCCTCTCTCTCTCTTTCTCTCACTCTCTCTTTATCTCACAATCTCCTCTCTCCCTCTCTCTCTCTCTCTCCCTCTCTCTTTCTCTCTCACTCTCTCTCTCTCTCTCTCTCTCTCCCTCTTTCTCTCTCTTTTTCTTTCTTTTAGAGATGCCTTTTTTTAATAATGTTAGAAGTATTTCCACTGAGAAAATCATAGAATTTATAAATTAATTAGTTTTTGGGATTCTAAAAACAGAAATAATGAAAATTAAAATTAAAATTAATTTAAAGTCGTCTAACTCGTAAAAATTCGTGTTAAAGTTTTTAAATTTTATTTTTTTCTTTTAATTGTTATGTACTGTTAGGTATTTATCACGGTAAATATCTTATATGTTGATAAATCAAAAAATTTCTTATTGTCAAATGTTAATTAAAAATTACATTTTCGTCAAATGTTAAAAAAATTTTTTTTTTTTTTGCAACACACTTTATGCCCTGAAGATGACCCGAATAAAAGTCGAAACGTCGGCAAAAATAAGAAACGTTTTTTTCTAAACTACCTCATTCTTGACCCCTCTCCCCACGAATTATATATTGTAAAATCAATAGTAAAGACCAAAGGAATCTACATAAGTTATTTGTATAATGTAAAATAGACAAATCAAATTAATTGAAAGAAAGATCCAGGGATCCAAGAGAACTAACTTTGCATTATTAAATAAACCATATAATCAATAAATCTATCTATCTATCTATCTGTTTATCTATTATCTAACAATCTATCTATATATCTCTCTTTCATCTGTCTCTCTCTTCTGTTTCTCATTCATAAAAACATACACTGACAGAAACATGTACAAACAACAACAATAGTTTATGTGCAAACAAACCCTAAAATTTGCGCTTCGCACTCGCATATTTTTATCTCTTCACGAAAAAATATTCAATCAAAAATATGTTAAGCTAAACCTATTCGTAACCAACCAAACTTCTAAACCAACGGTAAACATACCTGGCCTAACTTAAAACATACCGCAAAAAAAAATAAGAAAAATGATAAGAAGCACGAAAAAAGCAAAAATAGTGTTCACCGTCGTTCATACTCTTTCACCAAAATGTGAAATGTAAATCTTTAATTTTAAAATATATATTTTTATATTCTATAATCATCTCATACATAATAATCTGAATGATAAATATAACAACTAAAATGAAAAAAAATTAGAAACAAAACAGATACTCTATACAGCTATATATTACAAATGCGGGCAATACAAATAATTACAAATCAACATTCGCAGAGAAAATTGTTCAGAACAATGTCATAACAGAGAAATAGCTCAGTTTTTTTATTCAAAATAACAACCAACAGATACATGAAATCCATTTATCAAGGACAGATACATCAACTAGAATCAAATTTTAAAAAAATATATATATTTTGGAACAGACAAATATAGTTTAAGTTGAATTTGTAGACTAGGCAATTGATTGTTGATTAAATGATAAAAAAGAAAGTAATGGTAGTAAGAACATTAGGTTTTCCTCTAAAGATTTTTTATTGATGGCTGAGTTTTTAAATCTATAAATACATGTAAGTACATTAAGCGTTGGAACAGTTTATTTGTCACGATCCCCTACTACAAATAAAATGCGAATAATTAATTAACGGTGGGTAATTTTAATCAGTACAAGTTACTTTATTGATTCCTAGTGCATAGCGTTATATGCAACCGATTCTAATCAAACCTAATCTTCCCATCAGACCCTAATTAATTTACTTGTATTAGAGCAGCCGTCCTGTCGTGAATTACTGCTGGTACAGCAAGGTCCGTTTGCTCCCAAGCCAAACGCATTATGTTTGGAAACTATGGGTCCGTTCATCATGACGTTATTGATGTCCTTCCATAGAACAATATTTAATTTAAAAATACTGTTTTTTAGAGAAGTTTTTTAAACGTTAATTTTCCTTATTCGGGGTGGACACATAATTGAATAAATGAGTTTAATTGAAGCAACATTTATTTTGTGTTTGCGTTTGTATTCGCAATTCGGCTTTGAGATGAGAAATTAATGTCAGCTGTCGTAAAATTATTCTTTGGTTAAAAAAAGGTGAAACTAAAAAATACGTTAAATTCATTAGTTTTGTGGTCCACTTGACCAATCAATATCTTACAATTAATTAAAGTTTTTAGTTAAGATACAAAAGTCAATGGCACGAGCGGGATTCGAACCTACGTTCTTCGGCTTGATACGCCGCTGCTCTACCACTTCAGCTATCGTGACTTCGATCCACACGGACACTAACGTCCCATCTCAACCCCACCTTTTGAATTTTCCCTCCTTTTTGCCATTTTTCAATCCAGCTCGTGCCATTGACTTTTTATCTCAACTGAAAACCTTAATTAATTAAAAAATTCGGTGTTCTTGAGTTATTGTTACAAGTAAATACACTGACAGGCAAACAATTCCACCCACTTATGATATAACTTGATTTGTATATATTTATTTTATATATTAAACTATGTTTCAGTTTTTTTAAGGTTGAAGAATTTATCTTTGTTTTCAAAAGTAAAAAAATTTAAACTGCTAAGGAAAATTAAAAAAGACTGGCAGATAAAATTTGTTCTAGATTTTTAATTAACATTGCAATATTGCATTTTTCCTGCTCTTCCAGTAATTACATCTCAAAGATGCCTCGGCATACATTCTACAGTCTTTTCTGGAGGTGAGCCCATTCTTCACGAAGAGTCCTTTGAAGATCGTGGAGTGTATCTGGAAGTGATGGACGTGCTCTTATTCGTCTTTTGAGTTTATCCCATAAATGTTAGATGAGGTTCAAGTCTTGAGAACGTGCCGGCCAGGCTAAGACCCGGGTATGCTGTTGACTATGCGAGCGATACGTAGATGAGCATTCTCGTTCATTAGACGATTTTCGCTGATTCATCGAGGATAGATAATGCATGATGTTCCAAAATTTCATCCACATAGCGAGTGCCCGTCCCCACGAACAACAACCGTGCGACTTTCCATTGAAATTCCTACCCAAACCAACACTGAAGTAAGTTGACAAGTTGGCTCTGGGAAAAATTACAATCTCCATTGAAATTCCTACCCAAACCATCACTGAACTAAGTTGAAAAGGTTGGCTCTTGGAAAATTTAAAAGCTTCGTACCTTTTATTTCCCCTTCTCCACATTCTTTCACGCACATCTGGACATCGTAGAGCAAATCTACCCTAATCTGTATCAAATACAGCAGCTAGTCATCTAATGACCGATGACTGTGAACTCGAGCAAATGGGCCAGTGTGGTGCCGGTTTTGCAAAATTCCCAAAGTCAAAAAACGGTCATCCTGTGATTCTATTACTTTAGGGCGTGCCTCCTATGGTAGGACCCAGTTTCTCGAAAACGTCTAACGGCGTCTTGCAGTGTTTCGTGGGAATTTCGATGGCAACAGCCGCATACCTGATAGAATGTCCATCATCAATAAGTGCCACACCACGCGCAACACCCTCAGCATTAAGTGGCAATTTTACGTTAAACAGTTTCAATTAATTAATCTTTTTCTGTAAGGTTTTGGTTGAAATGAAAAAGTTAGTGCCACGAGCGAGATTCGAACCCACGACCTTCGGCTCAATACGCCGCTGTTCTACTACTTAAGCTATCGTGGCACTAACTTTTTCATTTCAACCAAAACCTTACCGAAAAAGATTAATTAATTGAAAGAAGTTATTTGGTCAATCAGACCACTAAATATAATTGATTTACTAAAGAGTTTATTGCTTAAGAATTCAAATAAGATTGAATAAACTTTTTAAATTCGGTCAAAATTAAACATTGAAAAATCCTTTATCCTTGTTTTGGATTAAGGATTAAGTGTGTTTAACTCTATGACATACCCAAATAAAAAAGGAGCATAAACAAATATTAATTGTTAAAAACAATTAGACAAATTAAGCGCAGATTCTTTCATCGAGAAAATGAAAAAAATCAATCGGGTGGAATTTTTTGCCTGTCAATGTATAAACATTATTTCATAAATGTGCTGGACTATGCGGATTGAGGTAGAAACTTACCGATTCCGGCGCATCGGCGACAAGGCTGGATGGAGCGTTGTCGTCTGATGACGGGTTGCCTGCGGCGAGGCCGAACAGAAACGCGACGATAAACCGGTCGAACATGTTAAACTGAAATGAGAAACCGTCAGGGGAGTATATATAGGCTCGCCAATGAGTCATTCCTCTCGTCGCGTCGTCACGGTCACACGGGAGATCCCGAGACGTGAGGAGAGGACGTGAGGCGCCCACTCACATGACCCCTGCGGACATCCGCCGGACCTTGCTCATTGACCTATGAAATATTTGCACAACAATCCACTACCTGGCCATTTTCGGATCTAATCTTTTCCTGACTACTAAAGAGAGACAGAATTTGCCTGAGGTTCATTCAGCCATTAATGTTCTGGCATTCCTTTCCCAACTCAATGCCCATAATATTCCAAACGGAAACAAACATACCTACTTCCCCAATATTTTTCCGTAGAGTGTGCAATCATTTAAACATTTGTTCACCGACTTGCATACCAACAACATATAACATGCATATAAAAAAGCATGTACTGATAGATAAATAATAGATTATTTACCTAAAATAATAGATCTATACAGTGTCCTTTTTAGAGGGGCCGGCTAAATTTCTCTTGAACCCCTGACGCAAGCTAAGAAAAAAAATACATGTTTAAAATATTTTAGCCTAGTTTCAGATTTTTACCTTTTTTGGAAAAAAATTAAACAGTATACCTCAGGCCAAGTTCAACTTCAAAATTTCAAATACGACCCTATACAACCTGACATATGGGAGCTGGAGTCTTCGGGATGAACCCAAGGACCGAACTGACGATAAACCTAGGTAAATCTGCTTCAGTTTTCCAGTCCGATATCATAGCGATTGAACAATGCGCCAGAGAAATACAAAGGCTAGGAATAGATTTCCGGAAGATAGCCATTTTCTATGACAGCTAGGCAGCACTTTGGGCCCTAGCCTCTTGCGAAGCGAAGGCAAAGAGTGCTTGGAACCGCATGGAGGCCCTGACGGAGGTCAATGCCACTCATGACCTGACTCTGGCATTGGTCCCTGGACATTGAGGGCATAAAGGCAACGAAAAGGTTGACATTTTGGCCAAAAAGGAGGCCACATGAGCTCTCTGGGCCCAGGACCACAAAAGAGGGTACATCTTAAAATGGATGCTTAATGATTCCAAAACATGGTGTACCACAGGTATGAGGCACGAAAAGAAATTCATAGAAGAACCATCCGCAAAATTCACCCAAGAATTACTGGAAGGCGACCGAACCGAACCTGGATTCTGGTAGGACTCCTTGCCACTTAAGAAGGCACATGTAGCGGATAGTACAAACAGAAGAAACACTCTGCAGATACTGCCAGGAAGAGGAGGAGACCTCAGAAGACATTTTATGTTTCTCTGAAGGTCTATGTAGTTGTAGGTTCTTGCAACTAGGACAAGAAAAACCACAAGCAAGATCCTACACTAAGGAACCTATGGCATAGCTGTGGAGACTGATTAATAACGTGAAGCTGGCCAGTGAGTTATAAGTAACAGTGAGCACAATAAATCTATTCAGGTCGAGGTGCATTAGGTCTTGCGGCCGCCCTTTCTATCCCAACAACCAAACACAACACGTTAAAGGATTTTTTACCCTGAAAACAATGGTGCAATCGGGTTTTAAATAGTCAAAAAAGACAAAGATGACAAAAAGCTTGAAGAAAACAATTTGGTTTACTATTTATTCATCGCATTTCATGCTCGAACTACCTGCCCTGCATCAAGATGAACAGATTTGCACTTTTTAATCACTCTTCACCGGTGCTCAGAGCGATAGAGTCAGGGGAGATGGATTGACAACCATTTTCTATTCTTTGCGGCAGTTTGTAGACACTGGTTTTTAAATGGCCCCACTAAAAATAGTCAAAAGGAGTTAAATCGGGTTACCGACTAACAGATCGGTCCATGAAGTCCTATCCACCTATCCTGGAAGTGACGATTCATATAACGTCTCACCTGCAAAGAACTGTGTCCGAGGCATCCATCAACCTGGAGAATCATTCTTTGTTCTTCTGTCGTTGTTGCACAGGAACATCATCTAATAGTGACGGTAAATCCTCCCTCAAAAATTGAAGAACTATCAACAATCTGAGCAAAAAGAAGAAGAATTATTTCCGAAAAGTCCACACCAAACGTTGATACTGTGTTGCTGATACCTGTTGATAACAAGAGTACGAAATTCTCGGATTTTCCTCTGCAAAAATTCCGACGGTTTAGTGTGCCATTAGAGGTGAACATGGATTCATCAGTTCATAGGATACATGGAAGAACGTTTTCTTCAGCCTCCCAAATCGACATTTGTCCAAGGAACGTTAGATCAGAGTGTCAGTGTCATAATCAGAGTCCCGAACCCTGGGCAAGGTAAGTGCGATATGGCTTAAAATTGTAAATCCAGAGAACATCTCTAATTTTTATTTTGAAAAACCAAAAACCTATACATATATAAAACACTTCCACTTTCATTTTTACCTTTGTCGATAATTAAATGGACTCCAAATAAAAATTACTTTTTAAAAAGAATTTTATTGTAAGAGCTACAACTGTTCAGACGGGGCTTACAGCAGAGAGTGATTAAAATTACAATAATAAACTTGTAGGAAGGGAAGGGGTTTTAGATTAGTTATCAGTAGACATAGTGTCAGCAGTGTCGGATTACTGTTTCCTTTCCTGTAACTGATGACACACCCTAATTCTCACCGCCCCGCCGATAAAGACCACGTTACAGTTTCACGTAATTTACAAAAGCACTTACTTCGAATTAATTTTTTCTTAAACAAAGTAATTTTATTTCCTTTGTTCAGAAAGCTTAATAATCCTAATTCCACGTTTAACAATTTTAAATTGGATTGTCAAATTTCCTCCTGTGGTATGCAGTGTTATAAACCTTCTGTTTGATGTTTCCTATCATCCTGCCATCCTCCCTGATTTTTGTTAATTCAGACGCACTTCGCCATCTTTAGTGTTTGGAAGATATTTGTCGAGTGATGCTTTAGTGTGATGCTTTAGCTTTAGGTCGTGGATAGGAAGGGGGCTTCGTAAGTTTTAGCGATATTAGTACTGTTTATCGGTGTGGTTAATGTATTAAGTCGGAGTTTTGGATTGTTTAAGTCGATTTGTCCTTTTTAATATGTGTAATGATTTAAATGATGTGATGTTTGCGAATTGTTGTTAAGAGTTTTTTAAAATTGTTCTAGTTTCTTATCTTCTCTCCTTTTTCTTTTGAATATGTTTGCGCGTTGGTCAATTTGTAAATATATGAGCTTTTTAGTGTAGAATGTGTTATATTTATACAGGGTGACTGGCGATAAGTGTTGAAAATTTTCGGAGGTTTTCCACTCACCAATATGCAACAAAAAACACAAAAACGTATAAACCCCTGTCCAAATCTCAATGGTTAAGAAGTAATTTAAGGATGTTGTTTTTTTCGACTTAAGTCCAGTAAATTGCATATAAACTTCAGAATTATTGACTGTAGAAGAATCTGGTTTGTACCACCTGAAAAAACTTACTGTGAGTAGGAATTACCTTTTCAAAAAGGTGGAAAAATAGCAAAAAGGAGGGAAAACTCATAAGGTGGGGTTGAGATAGGAAGTTGATGTTCAAGTGGATCGAGGTCACGATAGCTCAAGTGGTAGAGCAGCGGCGTATTTAGCTGAACTTAGTGGGTTCGAATCCCGTTTGTGACACAGACTTTTTTATCTCAACCGATACCTTAAATACATATTAATTAATTTTTAAAAAGGATTGAACACCGCACTCACTCCATCATTCATCATTTCTGTTAAATTAAAATTAGGTTATATAAAATTAATTATAAAAATAAAAGATTCATCTTCTAATTTGGGGTTGTTTTTAAATATACAATGGCTCTTATATATATATTACGGCATGAAAAAATTGTATAACTACAATTAAAAGTTATGTTATTTCGAATTAAATTCACTAATTTCGTGGTCCGCTTGACCAATTAGTATATTACAATTAATTAAGGTTTTTAGTTGAGATAAAATGCCAATGGCACGAGCGGGATTCGAACCCACAATCTTCGGCTAGATACGTCGCTGCTCTATCACTAGGGCTATCGTGACCTTGATCCACTCGGACACTAACTTCCCATCTCAACCCCACCTTTTCAATTTTCCCTCCTTTTTGCCATTTTTCAAATGTCGTGTAATCGCATTGGATTCTCGGCGACAAATGAAATGGCCACGGAGAGCTTCAGTGAAGTATACTTCATTTTAAATCATTAAATTCACTAATTTCGTGGTCCGCTTGACCAATTAATATATTACAATTAATTAAGTTTTTAGTCGAGATAAAAACGTCAGTGTCACGAGGGGGATTCGAACCCACGACCTTCGGCCGCTACTCTACCACATGAGCTATCGTGACTTCGATCCACTCGCTCACTAATTTTCCATCTCAACCCCCCCATAAGGATCGAACCCACGACCCTCAGTGGTAGAGGAGCGGCGAATCTAGCCTAAGATCGTGGGTTCGAATCCCGCTCGTGCCATTGACTTTTTTATCTCAACTAAAACCCTTAATTAATTGTTATTTCGAATGATTGATCACAATCTACATCACACAAGACCACATCTCACGATCTCTAAATAATCATTAATTAACGGCACATTATTTACACCTTATTTCAAATAAAAAAACAAGTGATTCAATTTTTTTTAGAAAATATAAAACAATTATTTTTTGTTTAAATAAATATAAATATAAAATAATTATATTATATTTTTAAAAATTCTGGAATTAATGGTTTTTATAATTAATTTTAATTATTTTTCATATATCATTTTTGATGAGAAACCATTTTATATTGTATTTAAATCTCAAATTAAAAAAAGAATCGTTTAATTTAATATTTAATTTTACCTAGTATTTAATTTCCATTTTAATTATTTTTATAACGAGAAGTCGAATTATTTTATATTTCAAAATAATTCCCAAATCTACAGTAATTTTACTTTATATGCTTAATACCACCTCCTAAATTCATTTAATGCTTTGAATAAAAGTTTAATTTGAAATTAAACCCGCCGTACTTAAAAATGGACATTTTTACAAAT